GAGCCTGGAGACTGTTTCAGATTCTGTTTCTCCCTCTCTCTCTGGCCCTCCCTGGCTCGTGCTCTGTCTTTCAAAAATAAATATTAAAAAAGGAAAAAAAATTTTTTTAATGCTTGAAGATCCCGCAGAACAAATCACCTGCACTATCTATGTATTGGGGCATGTGAGTAATAGCTCCCTTCCTAAAGGCATGGAATTGGTCTAGATGGTCGCTTTTTGATTCTAGCATTCTTTATTTCTCTTCTTCAACCATATTTACACAGATACTTACAAACTCATTCTTCTGCCTCTTCTGCATTTTTTCACCATACCCACCTTGAAGAACTAAGGATAAATGTCTTTCCGTACATCACTGTGTTTAGTATTAGAAAACCATTTCAGAACATTGGTTTTTTCATTGAATTTGAAGAGGCGGGTGCCTGGGTGGTTCAGTCGGTTGGATGTCTGACTCTTGGTTTTGGCTCAGGTAGTGATCTCACTGTTTGTGGGTTCAACGCCCACATCGTGCTCTGTGCTGACAATGAGCCTGTTGGGATCCTTTCTCTCCCAAGGCACTATCTCTCTCTCATATTAAATAAATAAACTTAAAAAAAAAAAAGAGGGCTGATGACTGAAGTAATAATAGTAAAACTGCTATTCATTCAATGCAGCTGTGTATATATACCCACTATGTGATCCTTTGAATTGACCCTATATGCTTGCCATTATCATTACTGCTTTGCAGTTGAGGGAATTAAGATTCAGAGAGTGAGCTAGTGTTCCGAGCCAACTCTCTGAGTCTAGAGCTTGTGTTCTTATTGAGTGATTGAGAACAAACTGACTCAAGAAGTAGTCAAGATCTATTTCACAAAGAATGTGGGATTTGCTGGGCAATAGGGAACAAGTGTCGGCTTGAAGCGTGAGCTTGAGAAGGTGCTCCCATGGGGGGAACAAATCCGAAGGCATAGAAGCAGAAATGAGTTCAGTTTATAAGACAGTGCAGAGACTCACCGAATGAGGACCAAGGCTGCTTGTTGGCAATTAGCAGAAACTGAGCGTGGTGGGAGGCCAGGCTGTGGCAGGTGGCAAAGCTGGACAGAGGAGTCCAGTTGAGTTGCTAGTAGTGAGAAGCCATTTGAAAGTTTTTGAGCCTTGGAGCTGCGCAGCATTTAGGGAAACCTGTCTGTGAAGGATACATGGGATGGGAAGAGAGGGGAGAATGTGGAATTACACAAGAAGGTCATCTGGAAGGATGCACTAGCCTTGGGCTGGGAAGTGGGGACAAAGGTGGGACTAGAGAAGAAGTGATGGAGAGCCCAGGCACTTCAAAGAAGAAAGAGCTGAACCTGCGTGGAGTAGCTAGATGGGTTTGAAGGAAAGAGGTAAAGCTGACCGAGATTTTGAGCTTGTCTGTCTAGGGAAAGAAGGTGGGGTTCTCCTGGCCAAGAGTAAGACTTCAAGAAGATAGGTGGTTGGAGAGAGGGCAGAGGAGGCTTTGAAGCGAGTAGGCTGGTGCTCTGCCCACACTTCCCATAACCTATGAGTCCTTGAAACCCAGGGGAAAGCCTGATATGAGAGAGCCAAAATGCAAGACAGCCATGTGCCAGGGTGACCCAGGACTGGGGAGTGTGGGAGACTGTGGTGCAAACGGGTGGGGCATCAGAAGCTGGAAGTCAGAATTAGAGAATGCGTGAGGTTCCAGGCGGGATTTGAGCAGACTCTGACAGCGAGTTCTTTCTGAACACTGGCGTCTTTTGTTAATTTAAAGGTATTTAGCCTTCTTATTTCATTATCTCCAGCCTCTGCTAGGTACACATATAAAGAACTCTCCTTTTGGAGAATGTTCGTTCATGGGATTAGAAGAAAAGAGACGGACGAAAGCCATTTTTTTTTTATATGAGGAAACGCAAATATTGTGTGTGAGGATTAAGCCTTTTCCTTCTCTCTGTGTCTGAGGCTAGAAAAAGACACACTCCCAGGAAACTAAGATAAAGGGAAAAATGACTTTGAGATGCACTTTCTTAAAATAACTGAAGAGATGACCTCATGAGCCAGCTGATAGCCTGGGTTTGCAAACGGATACATTTCTATTAGCCTGCTGCTTGATGTCGCAGAGCCAAATATATATGGAGTGTATTATATCATATCCTGTAGGCAGGAGACTGTCTGGGAGAGGCGGACTCGGGGAGGTGAAGTGGCAGGCTGGGCGCAAGGATTGACCGTGTAAATATCGTCAACCAGAGCTCTGTTTATTAGGGAAGCATGATTCCCTATTATTATATGATATGATAATTATATAAGAATTGGTATCATCTTCTGGTAAAATATTATTCAAATAAGAACACCTGATATTTAAATAGGCTCTTCAGTATAAAAGTGGTGTTGCACTCATTCTCTCATTAATACTTAAGCATTTCCATTTCTGTTGCCACCCCCCCCCCACCTTCTCTCTCTTTTACACCTGCAAGCCCATGTCCTTGGGTCTGACTCATTGCCGAAATTGTCTTATCCTTTTGGTCTTTAGGTATAGAGGCAGTGTGAGTGTGTCCTTAGTTGAAGGATGCTGCTTATCTCTGAAGTGTTGCAGGGGTTAAAAGGAAAGCAGTAGGTCTGGGGAGGGATGTTATAATTTGATTAATTGCTTCTCTTGCCAAAAATCATTGTAGACAATTAAGAATGTTCATAAAGTAGGCTCCCCTCCTCCTCCAACATATACGCTCAATATGGTTACTGTGCCAGGAGATAAAGAATGGCCGTTGTCTCTGGTTTAACACCTGCTTGGTCTGGATTCAGTTTGTAAAATAAATCTGCATGAAGTCCATAATGTGTTTAAGGTGACATATGCTTGACTCTATTTGTATGTCAGACTCACAGACATTGGCCTAGCATACTAGAAATTTTCAGGAAAAGCTTTAGGGTCATTTTCCCTTTTTAAGTAGAGCCTATTTATTTTCCTGTTTGTAAACAACCAGCTTCCTGAATTCTCTTGCTGTTTATAGTAGTTTTTCATTTGATTCTCTGGGGTTTTCCAGACGCACAGTCATATCACCTACAAATAATGATGATCCTACCTGCTCCTCACCTCTTATTTCCCTTATCTAATTGCCAGGTTCCTAACTCCAGAACAATACTGAAAACATGTTGACTTTGTTAGACACCTTGAATGCATGGAAAACTGTAGAAGGGAAATGAGGGAAATATCATCAGTAGTATCTTAGGGAGAAATCAAACTTGAGGGCAGGTATTCATCTTCTAAGGACAAGTAGGGGCTGTGAAATACAGCTTAATGTATACTTTACCAACACACACACATACACACACACGTGTATAATTCTCAGTCACCCATGGAGCTGTGGTAACCTGTGGAAAACAATGGGTTCTCATCATTCACATCTTGGAATTCTCTGGGACCCTCCAGGAAAGCTCTCTGTTTTATTACCTTAGAATTTGGTGGAAGATACAAAGACATCCCAGATGTCTTTCATGACTGCTGATGACCACACTCTTGTCTTCTAGGCCCAGCTTCGGGCATTTATTCCAGAGATGCTCAAGTACTCCACGGGTCGGGGAAAACCAGGCTGGGGCAAAGAAAGCTGCAAGCCCATCTGGTGGCCTGAAGATATCCCGTGGGCAAACGTCCGGAGCGACGTCCGCACAGAAGAGCAAAAGCAGAGGGTGAGGGTTTCTCAGACCTGAGTAGCCTGTTGTTTTTCCATTCTGAATCAACTACGCTAAAAAGCCTAAAAACATGTGTGTGGTAGTTGAACCTATCTCCCAAAAGAAGTTTGACATTCTCTGATTTGCAGCCTTTCCCATTCATCACATCATCACTGTAGACGTGGGATGGGTCCCTGAATTTACACTTCCTTCTGCCTAGTTGCCTTTTGGAGCAGTTTTTATATTATGAGATGATTGGAAAAAACGGAAGAAACTTCACAAAAAAGTATTAATTACTTCAAAGACTTAGAAATGTCTTTATTCCTGGTTAGCAAGCACCACCGTTGAAAAATATAAATAATAGAATTAGATGTGAAGTTGGCGGAGGCGGCTGATAACGACACTTTTTAAAAAGGTGAACTCAACTAATTGTCATCCCTTGCCTTTTCTGCATATTTGTTTCTTAGTTAGCTTGGAAGTTTATTGGGAATCAACATAAAATTCTTGGCAAAAGAGTAAGCGTCTTTTGTGAGAAGTTTAAGAGTTGGCCTCAGGTTAGGATGGGGTATAAAACCCAAAACCTAAACCAGACTTTGCTCAGGAAGGAAACCGGTGGGAGATCTTTGGCGTTCAGTGCCGAGTTTCTTTGTGCCACAATCGGCCTAACGGAGCTCACTCTGTATAGGTTGGATTTGGTTTGTTAAATAAGCAGCTGCTTATTCCGTAGTGGGACTGAATGACCAACATTCTTTGTGAGTGACTTTTTAAATGTGCTTTTCTGGTCTTTTGGTGACAGGTTTCATGGACCCAGGCACTACGGACCATAGTTAAAAACTGTTATAAACAGCATGGGCGGGAGGACCTTTTGTATGCTTTTGAAGATCAGCAAACACAAACACAGGCCACAACCACACACAGTATAGCCCATCTTGTACCATCACAGACCGTAGTCCAGACCTTTAGTAACCCTGACGGCACTGTCTCACTTATCCAGGTGAGTAAAACTATGGTTACGAAACTGTGGTTTCTGAGGTGGACCGGTGGGCACCTCACCTCAGACTGGAGAAAGTTTGCTTCATGTAAACCCTTATGTAACTTTTTAAAGCTCCTCAAGATCTTTCTATCTGAAATTTATTTTTAAAAAATATTTTAAATTGTTCCCAGTTTGTTAGCTACAGAGCTATAAGATAGCTTTTCTGGACATTTCCCGAATAAAGCACTATAAAAATAGCATCTTTTTTATGCTTTCATTCTGTCAGGGGCTAGGAGCTATTCCTTCTAAATTACCTCTTCTGAGGTAAAACGCAATTTGTTAGTAGATAGGGAACGTCTAAAATTCAGATTGGGATAAGAGTAGAAAGTTGGTTGACTGATACTGGGCACCGATGGTGAAACATGATAGCTTCTAATATTGATTTATTTGGTTGAAATAAAATTCTGGAACTCCTGTAAGTGTCTGAGACGACTTTAGAAACTCATTTCACATTACGAAGCATATTAACCAGTACCTATGCTAAATTGTGGATTAAATGAATCTTGACTCCTGAGTAAAGGAAAGGTAGAAGAATCCATCCACTGACACATCTCACTTTCCATATTTTTCTTTAGGTTGGTACAGGGGCAACAGTAGCCACATTGGCTGATGCTTCAGAATTGCCAACCACAGTCACTGTTGCCCAAGTGAATTATTCTGCTGTGGCTGATGGAGAGGTAAGAAAGAGGATTTGTTCTGCAGCTGCTTAAATACTTAAATGTGTAGGTGAGGGAGTAGTTAGGGTCCAGAAGATAACGACACCAGGCAGCTTACACATCTGTAGCATAAACCTTTTGAAACATCAGACCATGACAGTTTTGCAGAGTATCTCATGCTGTGTATATGAATTATAATAATTGAAAGTCCTAGATCTTTATGATTTAGAGCAGTCAGAAACTTACAACTTTACGTTTGCAATATAGCATTTTTATATAATACATAGCAAAAAGAGATTATCTGTGTCATACTTTTATGCTGTGAATCCCAAAGAATTTAATCGTTGGGCTTAATTTTTTAACAATTAGATCGTTAAAACTAGAGCTGACCAAAGAGTTCTTTGAAGGGATAAATATGTTTGTAAATCAGTAGTCATCAGTTATTACATTTTAAATATGCCTTTGAAAAGACTTTATGAGAAAATACTCCTCTACCAAAATCAAGGTAACCATGGGATGTTAACCTAAAGGTAGCTACCTTTAACTGAGCACTTGATAAACTAAGTGCTCAACCCTCTATTAAGAATAGGTTCTGTTATCATCTTCACTTTATAGATGAGAAAACGGAAACATGTAGAGGTTAGGTGACTTGCCCAAAGTCACAAAATAAGTGTCGGAGCTGTGTAACACGTTTAGAAACTGCTGTCTAGGCTCTGAGCTCTGAGCCATCAGTGAAGGTCAGGAAAGGGTTCGTTAAGGCACTGCAGGCTTTTCCCCTAAAGGTACCAGGGTGGTATACCCGTGAAGTGGGAAAAACAGCGAACAAATGTCAAAGAGCAGTGTTAGAAATAAAGCTAAAGGTACCCTTGTTCAAAACCATGGTGCATTTCCACTCAGAACACCACAAAGTCATTTTCACTTGTGCAACTCAGGAAAGGGAGAGAACTGATAAAAGTCTCATGGCTAGGGGGATGAAGAGAAACAACCGGGCTACCCGGTCAGCCAGCATGAAGTGAGCCCCTGCCATAACGCAATGATGTGTTAGATGCGTGGAGTTGATTTACACAGGAACCCTGCTCCTCAAGAAGCTCCTGTCTGGAGGGGGAGAGAAATGTCTGCAGAAATGAACCATGGTCCATGCTGTAGGACATGCTGCACAGTGGTCTATGCCTTCAGGAGAGATTGTTTCCAGCTAGGGAGTCTGAGGTTTGGGGGCAGGAGCCAGCGTTTGGTTTTGCAGTATAGAAAGGTAACAGTCAACAGGATATTTACCTTTAGAAGTATATAAACATCATGTAAGAGTATGGAATAGCTGAGGGAAAAACTCGTCAGTCCCCAAACACTAAAACTGGAGGGCTCTCCTTGAAGTGTGAAAGAGAGAGAAAAGACAGTGGTGGGTGTGTTTACTGAATTTGTTAACTCTTTGACTTACTCAAAGTTATCAACCATATCTCCTCCCTACTGGATGTTTCGTGATACTATTTAAAGAAAGTGACTTTGTGTTTCTTAAACACTTCTCTAGGGACTAATTCTTTGGAGCCCATTTTACTAAATAACTTCACATATATGGTGGTAATTAACACATTCAGAAGTTCACGGAAAAATATGAAGAATAAAGAAAAAAAATCTCAGTTACTTACGTAGGGCTTTTTCAGCACACTAACATTATTTATAAGTCATCTGTTGTAGAAGTGGGTGGATGACAGAAATAGCCTGCTGGTACACACCCAAATTCAGTCAGATTAAAAAAAAAAAAAAAAAAAAAAAAAAGGAACTCCTCCCACACTTCCAATGAAACAAAACAAAGAGAAGAAGCACAGGTTATCTCAGAAAGTGACAAAATGTTTTCCATTTTATAGTGTGATTTATTTGGCTTCTCATTTGTCCTAGATGTTGACATGGTTGTTAGCCTCTCAGTTGTGAGCCGTAAGAACTGAAATTACTCAAAATACCTCACTACTTAACGGCAGATAAGACCACATCAAGTTAATGAAACGTTACATCAGATGACTCAGTAAAAACATCCTACTGCCTTTTATTTAGCATCTTTTCTCCCAAGGAATAGAAAGTACTCTACAAAAATAAACGATACCTACACTTTTAGAAGTTGTGAGGTCATTTTGTTATCCTAACCTTGCCTGTGAGAGGGAGCTCTTACCATTAGACCACACTGCCTTCGAAATCCAGTTAGTTACCTTTAGTTACATTTATTAGAAGGACCACTGGGGGTCTGTCTCTTGTGGTAATATATGGTCTCCCAAATCTTTTTGAGTACTCTTTTTGAGTACTCTGTGTGCTCAGAATACCCAATAATTCTAAGTACAGTTGACCCTTGAGCAGCATGAGAGATAAGGGCGCTGATCCCCTGTGCAGTCAAATTCACGTACAACTTTGACTCCTTCAAAATTTAATAGCCTACGATCAAGCAGAAGCCTTACTGATAACATAAACAATCGATTAGCACGTATTTTATATGTTATATGTGTTGTATCTTGTATTCTTACAATAAAACAAGCTAAAGAAAATATTAAGAAAATTATAAGGAAAACACGCTTACAGTACTGTACTACTGTGTTTATTGAAAAACAAATCCACTTATAAGCACACCCAGAGAGTTCAAACCTGTGTTGTTCCAGGGTTGACTGTAGTTTCAAAGAAACAAAAAAATCTCTCACCTTAGGCAGCTTTAAACTAATTAAGGACACAGAACAAGTTGCATAGACATTTAGAAATGAACAAGGAAAGAATTTCAAAATATTGTGAAATAAACTATGTTGATTTCAAAGTATTTATACAATTTCAGTTTTGATGGCATATTTGCAAATGCACATGAGTTTGAGAATTTACTCTGTTGTGTGATAAGACCACCAGTTGGTAGTGGTGATGTTAATTGCATTTAAGTGGCAGGAAAGTCAAATTTTGAAATAGAATGGTATCTGATTATCATGGTATATGTGGTTCTGTTAGAAGAAGAAGAAACCAAAGCACAAAGACATTGGAGACATGAATTTTAAAGTTGTGTTTGTTTTTTTTTTTTTGAAGTTTATTTATTTTGAGAGAGAGAGTGCAAAGTGGGGTAGGGGCAGAGAGAGATGAGAGAGAGAAAATAATGCCAGACAGCCCCGATGTGGGGCTCCAACTCACGAACCATGAGATCATGACCTGAGCTGAAATCAAGAGTCGGACGATTAACCGACTGAGCCACCCAGACACCCCGGAGACATGAATTTAAAACTGAACCATCAACACGTAACAATAACAGTAGCACGACTTACTTTAGATGGTTTTTTTTAACAAATGTCAGTTTAACTGAGATCCAGGTAGGCTAAAGAACAAGTAGGAAAACATGAATAAAGGAATACGTTCTCCATCCTGCCATTCAGTATACTTTCTGAGCCCTATGCCAGGTACTGTAGATTCTGTAGATACAGGAAATTAAAGGCTGCTCTTGCTCTTCAGGAGCACACAGGTAGGTGGTAGAGAAAAACATACCAAAGCACAATGGCAATGAGGTAAGAATTTAGTAGAAGCAAGCCTGGGGTGCTGTGGAACACAGAGGAGAGGTCCTGAGCCTTGGACCATAGGGGAGTGGAGTTGTCTGGGCTCCTTCGGGCTCACCTGAGTTCAGACTAGAAGGGTGAACGGGAAACAAAGCTAGGAGTTGTGTTCCTATCAAAAGGAGTGCATGCAGCGCACTGCGCTGGGAAAGCGTGGAAGGGCCTTGGGGTTCACTGTAGCTAGAGGGATAAGAGTAACCACAGTTTGGAGGGCCTCGTTGGAGTGGGTCTCTCAGAAAAGCATTGATGCTAACTGTACATCCTCTGAATATCTTTCCCTCCTAGGGCTTGGGGCCCTTTCTCTGGGACATGGTGACATCCGGCATAGATAACCACACAGTGGCTCCCAACAGATGGAAAGGGAGAGCAACAAGAGCTCAAGCAAATACAACTAAAGCACTGAGGCTGAAGAATAGGAAATTCCAAAGAAATGTTAACACCCAAGTGATTTATTTATCACCTGCCATTATTCTGAATAGAAATCTCTTCGTCTGCTTCTTCTTCCTACTTCCTCTCTACCCTTTGCCACCATCCATTAATCTTTCATGCCATATAATTTAACTTCCTTAAAGTATACTGTATATGGCAACTTTCTAATACCATTTTTACTGCAAATACAGTTGTAACTAAATGTGTATACATTAAATTGCTACCATTGGAGTCTGAGTCTTGGGAGAGCTGCACTAGGCCAAGCTCTGCAGTGGGATGGGCAAAAATCTAGACGGGCAGATCTGGAAAGAGGAAGACTGTTTAATGGCAAAAGGTGACAGGGCTGGCCGGCTTCGGCTGATGTGTTGAGCGCAATCATAGACCATCTGCGGATTCGCGGTGTAGCTTGCCGTTGAAAGTGGCATTATTTACACTGACACTCACTGGAGAATGAAATCAAAGAGATACTAACTCCCGGGAAGCAAGAGTTTTGTGAGTTCCCAAGTGGGCAAATTTGCAGCTCTAAGGGAAGGAAGTGGGATGTCTCTGCCTCTTAGTGACGGGCCGTGAAGTTTTGCTGGCACAAGCCACTGCCTGTGCGAACTCTGGGCGAAAACTAGGGTAGTTCAAAGGAGTGTCCCATTTTCTGGGAGGCTTTTGACAGGCATTCTGAGAAGCACCATCATAATCTAAGTGTGGTCATAGAACCAAAGCAGGAGGCATTTTAAATCTCTACCTCTCCTAAGCTTGGGACGCAGTAAACATGCAGGAGGCACGAGGTCTCCACTCACCGGGCCCAAGCAGTACGAATCAGGAACAGTAAGAGTTCCAGTAAGCAGAGCTAATGTCCTGAGACCCGAGTCCATAGAAACATTGTACCTGAGCTGATTGATTTGCCACCTTCCATATTTTCGAATAGAAATTGCTTTCACGCTGTCCCTGCCGCTTTTTGTTTTTGAGGGGGAATAATTCATCAACTAACACTTACCGAGCAAAACCGACTGAAGTAGCTAGACACGGGTATCTAGGACTGAGAAACCTCTAAATGTGGTTCTCAGTTAGGGCACCGCCCGCCACACACCCAGGACATTTGATAATATCTGGAGATGTTTTGGATTCTCATGACCGAGGAGGGTGCTGTTAGCATCTGGTAGTAGGTAGAAGCCAGGGATGCTGCTAAACGTCCTGCATGGCACAGGACAGCCCCCCACAGCAAAGACTTGTCTGGCTTCAAATGTTAATCGTGCCGATGCTGAGAACCCCTGTGCTAAATCTTGCACACCTGAAATCTAATCCGTCCTGTCACCAGAGTTTTTTGTTTGTTTCATTTTGTTTCTTCATAATTCTACCCCCCTCCCCGCTGACTAAAAGGCAAGCAGTTTTTGCTACATTAAAAAAAAAAAATTGTTTCCTGAATTTGGCAGTTTCCATAAAAAATTAAAATACAGCGTAACTGATATACAATCCCACTTCTTAAGAATTCATTCTATAAATAGACTCCCCAAAAATATACAACATAGTATGTAAAGATATCCATCACAGTATTGCTTGTAATAGCAAAAGACTAAAAACTACCTAAATGCCCTTTAAAAGATGGCTGGTTAAATAAATCATGGTGTACCTCTACAATACAATGCTTTGCAGCCATTGTTATGAATCATGAATGAATGAAGCAGTTCTATACATTCCAAAATAGAATCATTTCAGAGATGTATTGTTGGCGAAACAAGCAAGGTACAAAAAGATAACAAAGAATATGCTGCCATTTATATTTTTTAGGAAGGAGTAGAAAGGGGGAAATAGTGAGTGTGTGTGTGTAAATAAGCTTGCATATAAAGAGACTATCCCTGCAAAGCTACACAAGAAATAGGGAACAGTAATCACCTCTGTACTCAAGGTCTGGAGTACTGGCATTATGTGCCCTTTGGTACCATTTGAATGTTTTCAAAATTATATTTACTGTCTATTCAAAAGTGCTGATTTTTAAATTTTTTGGTTTAGTCAAAATTTTCAATCTGAGCCATATCAATATATTACCTATTCAAAAGAACTCAAAAGAATAGGTAATACATTGATATGTCTCAGATATTTTTAAAAGTATACATTGGAAAATCTTGCTTTCTGTCTCCTATCCAACCTATTCCCACAACTCCCTTCCCCCCACACACACCAAGGAAAATAATTTCAATGGTTTCTTTTGTGTCCTTCCAAAATTTCTTTATGCAAATATAAGTAAATTCAAATATATATTCTAATACCCCCCTTTCATACACAAAAGATAGCATACTAAAAACCCTGTTCTGTACATTGTAGGTCATGCTAATTTAAAAATGTGTCTGTATTTGGCTGAGCACATAGCAATGTATCATAAGCCTTCTGTGACTTTGATTCTTTACTATCGTGTCCTCTCTGCCTCAGGTGGAACAAAATTGGGCCACGTTACAAGGAGGTGAGATGACCATCCAGACGACGCAAGCATCAGAGGCCACCCAGGCCGTGGCGTCACTGGCAGAGGCCGCAGTGGCAGCTTCTCAGGAGATGCAACAGGGAGCTACAGTCACCATGGCACTCAACAGGTGGAGGCAGGGGTGGGGGACTAGATGAGGATAGTGGATCTGCCCCTGCCTGTAGGTTGTAAAGAGAAATGTTGCACTTCAGTTTGTCACAGTTGAATGTTGGAGCTTAATCCTCTCAGCCCACGGAGTATCATCATTTGACTTATCACCAGCCTTTCCCGGCCCGTTCCTGCGCTCCGTCACCCACCCCCACAGCCAGTCCTGCCTTCTGACTTCCAGCTCGAGTCTGCTGGTCAAGAGACCGTGATCCCTTTTCCTTTCTCCTATTCTGTGCCCTTTAACAAACCAAAAAACGCAAGGTTTGAGGACTTTGTGTTTTTAATGGGACCAAAGGATATAATAAAGCAAGAAGCTTCAGGATTGATTTTCTATTTACCCTACAAAACAAATCGCTTTTAGTCATTCTTTCACTTCTACGAAAGAAACCACCTTTTTTTTTT